ATCAAAACACATTGATATCCGTCATCATTTTGTTCGCGAGCGCATGGCTTCAAATGAAGTCAAAGTTCAGCACTGCGCCTCAGAGGAGAACTTAGCAGATATATTCACTAAAGGACTACCAAGACCATTACATGAATATTTATCTGCAGGTATTCTAGGTACTCGGAATTGAGGGGGAGTGTTGGGATAGCAATCCCGAGTTAGTGCTAGAATGCACTCGAAGCTTCGGCATGACTAAGCGGCATGAACATTTAACCACAATAGTAGACACATATAGTAATCCGTAGTAAATTCTAGAAGTAGTACAACTTGTATTTAAGTACGATGCCTCTCCCTCGAGAGGCTAATTAATTCTCTCTCTCACATACTCTCCTCTGTACTTCCAACACATTTTGAAAGGCCGCGATTCCTGCAGATACGTCGGGAGAGTGGGTGGTGTACACCTGCGGCGTCTAAGGGAAATCGAGATTAGCAGTCATGATGCTTGTCATTTCTGGTCATAGTTAGGTGCTTTGGGCTTCGATGACATTTCTGTTCCTAACGCAATCCTCAGCGAGCGTAGCAGCAGTCTCTTCAGAGTCAGCTCAGGCCATCCCGCCCTATACATTGAAAAATGAACCTTATTTGAAGTTAGTGTTCTATTGAAATAGCAAATAATTTGAGTCCGTCTACACAGAACAGGAACAGTGCTATTGGACTAGTAAACACGCGATGCCCCAGGCTCGTTCCGCGCGAATGCCTTTACTGATGGCGGAACGATTTGTATGGTACAGCATACACGGTGATGAGACGCCACTGAAGTCAAAATCAGATGAAGATAATAGTGAGTTTGACAAGGATGATACCTGATATCGGATAGTACTGTCGAATGATGAACCCGGGGGACGCAGTAGTAAAATCTGCGACGGAATCGTCGCGTGTGATAAATAATGCACACGATACATTTCTTTCCTCTGGAGATGATTTTGCCTAAGAAAATGATTAGTAGGCCGAAACGCTATCTGAGAGAAAAATTCACGGTCATATCCCGTAGTACGTATACCAGCAAGTCGTTTCTTTGCAGGGCTAACGAGTCTTGTAAATCAGTGTACGTCGTGTCTGATGCAATAACCTGTCCAGTCGGCACCAAAAACGAAACCCGCAAACAATGCGCATAGATACCATCTTATCGGACCCCATACGGAGTGATGCCGTTATAATCCGTCGAAAGCTCCTGTATTCCATGGGATCTTCTCTGAATCTGAACTGTCCTAGATAGGCATGTTGATAGCCTGTAGCAGTGGTCGGGGGAATACTACTGACGAGCCTTCTACGACGATGTTCCCCCAACATTTGTTGCACGATGAAACGTCGGAGTAACAAACGTGTCCGAGATTGGGAAAATATAATGTACGACAAAGTCGAAGGAGAGTGTGCTGCTCCCAGCCAGAATCACTGTCGATGTGAACGGAGAGGTAAGCACCAGTTGGAGGAAGCATAGTGTTTATGTACATGTTCGACGAGCAGGGTTCGGCCAGATTGGATGTTAGGAAAAGACAAACGTAAGTCAACTGTGAGTGGGTACACCCTGATCAGACACATGTTGGTCAATACAAGCTGGCTGTGAATATTTGGGACTATAGTATGGATGCAGTGCCGTTAGGGTGTTGGAAACGATATCGCGATCTTTCAGCATCGTCGATTGATGTGGGATATCCTCCTAACCATGGAGGGGTAGCTTTGACTATAAAAGTCACATGGGAGTTCGAAGACGCGGAGGTCGTTCACGACACATGATTTTGGATCTACCAGGGTGGAGGTGCGCTGCGGATAATCGATATAGCATTGAACGTACGCTGTTGGTTACAGCAGCTAAGTCACCAGAGCGCAGACCAAATGATATCAATCGATGAGGACGACTAGGGTGCTCCGTCATTCATCGGATGTCACTTGGGTAGGTTCATTAACTTTGGTTATAACGGTTATTCGTGATCAGCTCACCGAATTGTTCCCAAACGTGTGTACGTCGTCGTAGTTGATAATGGAGGAAAGAAGAACCCTTTGAAGCGCCTGTCAGATCACATTGCACTACGCAAACCCGATGACTTTTACATACCCCAAAGATCTTGCCATGCAGTCGTCTCTATCCATACATTTTGCACCTACGGGCTGGCCCTCGAGCTCATCGCAACGAACACCGGATGCGACAGAAGATGGGAGAGCATTGACATCAACATACAGCCGGAATGTAGAGATGTAGAAGGTGGACAGCTCGACGGGATCGTGAAATCGGTTGATATACAATGCGCAGAGAAACGGGAGCAGGGAACCATCGTGTTGCAGTAGGTCCAGTGTGTCGCCGGCGGAGCCGTCAATGATATCGAGCCGATATCCCTTCTGATAGTGTTCGAAGGGATGCCTACACCGATCTCCTCAGAAACCAAATCCTCCTTCACTTCGCTCAGCCTCTGCCGTGCCCCCGAAATTCATATAAGCACGCTGTCGTGAGCTTTCATTTGTCAGAGGCCGGTTCTTGTTGGAGCGCCGTGTTCAGTCTTCGTTTGCTGCTTCTGCGAGGTAGAGCTAATCGACGCGTAGGGAGAGAGAGAAGAGGATAGAAAACAAGAAAGATGCTGCACGGAACAGAGTTAGAATGGTGAGAAGGAAACGACTGGAGCAGTGGTGGTGGTGGTGGTGGTGTTACCGGCGCCAGGTCCCAATAAGGAACGGCCGGGTCCACAGCCCTGACATGGCGAACCATGCGCTGTGGCTGCAAAGGCTCATACCGTTGTAATCACACTGTTGAGTGCGTCTCGCGGAGTAGAGACTCTTTGCAGGGTACACAATTGAATGAAAAGTGATGGGGATGAGCACAATCGAACACGGAGAACCAGTTAGCATTGGTGTATACCTCGAAAATCCGGTGCAGTGTATGACTCCTTAATAAGAATCAGTGCCGTCCAAAAGGAGGAGTGTTATGAAATGGCTCATGAGACATGTGCGTCAACAATGACAGTGAAAGAACATGTGAACAAATGTGAAACGCGTAACGGGAGAGTGAGACATGGTGCACGGACCATGAGGTGTATGGAAGGTCAGCAGCAATGAGAAGATATCAAGGACAATGGGAGCATACGAATCATCCACCAAGAAACAAAGAACCACAGACTGCAGGAACGAAACACAAGCATCATGTGCGCACAACAAACGAGGTCCGTTGTTTTGCTCAAGCCTTAGCCCATGAAAATGATGAAACGGAAACCAAGAACAGCGAAACAGGCAAGCTCCTTCGAGAAAGAGACTGCCTGCGAACGAAACACCGAGTACCACCAGACTGGTGAGATCCTTCGCGAAGGACACCACCAGCGGACGTAACCACCGAGTACCACTGCACAGGTGAGATCCTTCGCAAAGGACACCACCTGTGGACATAACAACCGAGTACCACTGCACAGGTGAGATCTTTCGGAAAGGATCCCATCTGTGGACGTAACCACTGCACAGGCGATATCCTTCGCAAAGGACACCTCCTGTGGACGTATCCACTGCACAGATGAAATCCTTCGCAAAGGACTCCATCTGCGGACGTAACCACTGCACAGATGAAATCCCTTGCAAGGGACTCCATCTGTGGACGTAACAACAGAGCACCGTCTGCAACGGCATCGGCAGGGCCTTTAAGCCCACGCGAAGGCTGAGCGATTGAGACAGAGAGCATTGACGACGCGGTAGGAAGGACGGATTCCGTGGTAAGAAGCTTTCGGATTGGAGCAGTTCCGCGGCTTTGACCCAGTCGGCTACGGGATCATGTGTGGGGTAAATGGCCAGGACAAGCTGCGGTGCAGAAGAAACAGAGACGCGTCTCGGTGAAGGGCAGTGGTGATGAGGAGGAAATGAGCTGGTGTCAGGTGGTGGTGGTGGTGGTGTTACCGACGCTCAAAGGTGTCTGGTAGGTCGGGAGGGTGTGAGTGGGGTACTCGGGGGAGGGAATGGTGCACATGTGGATGAGCAGAAAGGCGTTCTGGTATGTGCACCCCAAATAACACTCAAATGGATATCTAAAGGTATGAACACCGCTAAATACGCCCAAGAGGTTGGATAGGAAAAGGGAGAGATAATCAGATGGGATATACAGGTCATTGTCTCCGCCCACTATCACACCATCACCGAACGTTCACTCTACCCTCTACGACCTCGGCACAATCACTCGCTCTGCTGTTTGTTCAAGGAGAAAGAATCAGTGGGCGCGTCTGTTTGGTGGGCAGGGCATGTTTGGTTTTTGGTGACGTCAAGCTTCTTGGGTTCCTTCCCAACGACTACACCGAATTTACGATTCACGGCCTCGTCACTTGTGGAGTTCTGACCTTTGATTAGGACTACTAAATGCTCAAGACCAAGATTGATTTCCCCGCGATGGACACACCGAGGGAACCAGGCATCGACATTGTTGGACTTTGAAGACGGATTGGATGAGAACTCTATGGCTTGTGTGCTCATAGCGAAAATTCCGACATTTTCTACTCTCACGTTGACGTTGAGGGTACGGGTTTTGGCGCTAAAACAGCAGACCTCTGTTCGGGTAACGACAAACCAAACGAACTATGTCAAGGCAACGCTTTCGAAAACTGGAGCAAAGGGAAGAGAGTTGACGAGAGCGTATTCGGAGTAGTAGGTCCCCCTTCTGTCACCCACATCATTCAGCCGTACTCACTCTTATCGTAGCCCATGTCAGGACACCCACGCTGCCACCTTGACGTGCATCACTCGTAGAACAAGAAGATAATGCAACCTTGAACCCGGTTCCGAGTATTTAACTTCCCGCGGTGTATCGACATTTTGTGAGGCGTGTTTTGAGTGCCAGGTAAGGGGAGCAGTGGAATTCGACTAACCTACACATAGGTTTTGACGCTGGGAAGACGGGTGCCTCGGGATAGCATAGTAACTTAAGGGCGAAAGGCAGATGGGGGAAGTCATGATTACTTGCGGGATTTGTGTAACTCGCGTGAGGGGGGTACACAAAGATGCGGGAGGACGTGGCCAATCATTACGGTCCTTGCATGTAAGTGAAGTACGTATATCAGGAATTTATATAATTTATCTAAAACACTGCATAAATTACAATAGAGACATGAACGTTAATGGGGGAGAAAAATATATCAGAGAGAAGGGTCAGTATGTCTGTGCAGCTAATCGAAAGCATAAAGATACTGTGTTGCCGGAGTCAAGACACTATGGTAACAACTTCCAATTGTTTCAATTTCCTCCCCCGCTAGAGTCTTGGTCGGAGTCTGTTGATCCTTCCAGTATGTTTCGCGTCCTTCGTTGTTGGTAGCATGATACCCAGCTGTCGATTACCTTTCGATCCAGGATCTTCCGACCGAGCTCGATAGAGAGAAAGATTTTCAAGACTCCGGCCCATTCTCGTAGCTTGCGAGATCCGAACCACCGCCACTCAGCGGTCTCTGACGCCCCGTTTAGGGATACAGCCGCTGATGTACGAGTTGGTCAAGCTAGTGGTAGCTTCACCATTGATCGAGGCTGCCGTGTCGGTGCACTGGGTGTCAAAAAACGAGGTGCAAAGAAAAGGTGCAAAGGTGCATCGACCGGATTTGCAGTTCCGAGGTGCAGTCCTGGCTTGAATTTGACGATTCCTCGGGAGGGACGTACGTCTGTGGTGGGAGGAGTGTTGGAGCTTGCCGTGATGGGGTGAGGATTTCGTCGTTCTCTTGGTAATGGTAGAACAGCCAAGCCCCGCGGTATGAGCTCGTTTTATCGTCTGCTGTAGTGGGCGGTGGACTGAATGGGGTCTTGTAGTGAACTGGCGCTGGGATTTCACACGTATGGTTCGTGGTGGACTACCATGCACGGCTTTCGGATGGGCATCTGATGTTGCAGCTCGTCTATGGATCCACCCACAAAATCGGCCGACAGCGTCCTTCCTCAGAACACTGCTGTCGAACGCCTTAAACCGTGCCTTGCAGAGCCTTGACGAAATTGTTTGCGTATTGGCGTTGGATGTCGGCCCGCAAGGCGTTATCGACGGGAAGTCTCCATATGTGTGGAAAGGACGTGGCTGGTGGTGCATAGGCAGATTTCCGAGATGCAGATGCTCTGAAGCACAATCTCCAACCTTGTCCCGCTCTTGCTATCTTTCTCATCCCAGCCCGTCTCTCAATCTGCCGTAGCGAGGCCATTACAGTACTCTCTGAGAGGTTGGACCCTGCAACTAGTTTCCGGCATCCGAGTGCGTTTCCTTCAGTTTGTACCAGAGGCGTTCGTCTTGCTGTATCTGCACTCGGAGGATTCGGTACACACCGCAGTGACATGCAGGCGAGGAGGAGCGGAGAGTGCTAGTGAGGGTTGGACCATGATGGCCGCACGGTGAAGGAAGACGTAGATATGGGGGACTGGATGTCGAGCAAGTCTTGTAGTGCGCTGATGAAAGCAACGAGGAGTCGCTCAGATCTTGCTGTGTGAAATTTGTGCACATATCCTCTCATCACCTTGGTCGCGTTGCTACTTCAAACATTCTGGATTTAACCGGCGCATTTCGTATCACCACCTCACTTCCAGACTTGCAGCTCCCGCAGTTCCTTTCTGATGCCTCCATCGATGGATGGACATCTCGTTCATTGTCCAACCTTCTCATCCGCATGCATGCTTTGAAGACGAAGTCTATGTGCCGTGTGATCGTGTCTGTAACCTTCTCGACCTCGGCGAGGGAGGGGTCACTTCAGTAGTCTAGAGGGTGAACATCCTTCTCGTTTAGAGCATTTTGTGGCTGATATAGATGGTATTGCGTGTTCCACCCGGCTGATGATTACTGAGCTTGCACGTCAACGTCATATCCCTGCGGCTTGTCTTGGATTTACAGGAGGCCAATACGCGGATGAGACGCTACCACGATGAAAATTCGATGAAGGGAGCAGTAGGTCTAACGATAATCATACCTGATATCGATGACGGACTATCGACTAAGACTGATCCGCGCCAACCTCTTCAGAAACCAAATCCTGCACTACTTTGCTCAGGCTAATCTCTGCCTTTGGCGCGCACTCCAGAAACCCACACCGTATCCGTGCGTATAAGACCGCAAGAGGCCAGTTCATGAACTTCTTGTCGGAACACGTTCTCTCTCTGTTTGTTGGTTTTATGTCCAATGCGTATGAAGAATCCAAAGCGAGAAGACAGTGCATGGGACGGAGTGGGCGTGGTAGTGAGGAAACGGAAAGCTCGGTGTCTGTCTGGTTGGGCCGGCCCGGGCCAAGAGTTTGGTTTTGGTGACATCACACTTCTTGGGTCCTTCCCGACAATTACACATTTACGACTCACGGCAAGCGATTTCTCTTCTCACTTTATAAAATCCTGACCTTTCCCTGCAGCTAAGTTTCAAACGCTCGAGACCAAGGCCAAATTCTTCCCGGCGGATGCACACTGGAAAAAGTAGACATCGACTTTGGCTGGACTGAAGACGGAGGTGAGAACTGCTCACAGTGCAAATTCCTGCCCGCTCGTGTCTTCTGCGTTATTCTCCCTCTCACGTTAATTTGGTGCTGAAACGACAGTCCTTTGTTCGGCAAGGAAGCCGTCATCAATGTCGACCACTGGTGCAGAAAGGACTGTCAAAGAAGTGACAAGAGCACGCGCCGGATGATACGTAGGCCTGGCCTTGATACATCACCCTTCCTTCACCCACGTTCAGCCGCACTCACACTTGCCGTAGTTTGATCTTATCCGCCCAAGTTAACACGGCTATCACTTCGTTTGAAGGATACCCACCACGCATCACTCGATAGTGGACAGCAGCCAATGTATGAAGTATCTTCCGAGCAAGACCATGGCTGTGAGACGATTTTAACACCCGTTTGTGCACGGGGATGGTAGCCTAGGGAGAGGCGAAATTCGTGTTCAAACCCTCCGCTACCATTGGTTCCCACTTTCGCCACCCCTCACCTACGCCGATAATCACGACCTCTCAGCGTCATGCAACACATCCTCTATCTTATCAAATTTTCACAACCGGTATCCAGATTGGACTCGATATGCGTATCGTTTCCAATAATTCGCGAAGGTGTTGAGGACATCTTGGGCAGGCTGCATGGGCTTTTATTTAGACGTGGATGGAGGGTAGAATCACAGCGTAGCAAACTCAGCCCATGCTAGACGTTTACTTCTCAAGTCCGCGGTTTCTTCTCGCCAACCTTCCGTTCTGACGGTTTCAAATACAGGTTCTCCTTGGCTTTCAGCATAGACGTTCTCGATGTCCACCTCTAATAACGCAGTGTTCGTTTGACATCCCCTAGTTTAGGTGGAACTCTTGTTCTCGGCGCGGTCGTCTGCGTCTTTCAGTCTGTAACGGGTAGTAAATTACTCCTCGTACCTGGTGCATCTGGCTGGTAAGGCCTTTCTTCAGCACTGTACAACGTTTCAATCATATCCCCTTTTTAGCGTGTCCTCGTTAGCATGGGACAGAGTTACAATCATGCCGTGCACCCATACTGTAAGTCTATCTCGCTTGCTTCTTCATAAATCCGGCTAATCTACGCCTAGCCTTCGACGTTGGGATGCCTCGAGATAAGCCCATAGGGGAGACCTGCTGGTTATTACACGGTACTTACACGCATGTAAAGCACGTATTTATATCAGGAATCTAATTTATAATACTTGACTTGCATAAGACAAATATGAGAAAAAGATGCATTTACAGGACAGAAATACACTGGACATAAGGGTTGGTATGGAGTTTCCAGCTAGGCCGCAAGTGTTCTCACCCCAGCCCTCCGACTGCTCGTTCTTCTATCCGTACTATACGCCGACTCGCGTACTGAAAATCAGGGTCGTTGACGGATAACCTCGCTGCGGGCACCGTGTTATATGGTCGTGCTTGAGAGGAATTACCCGCGGGGGGGGAATGCAGACCTCCGAACGGATACTTCAAACGTCTTCATTCCCAGCCCTCTATGGATCCACCCTCCAACATTGCCCGACAGCGTCCTCCCTCAAAACACTGATCCCAAATCTCGCTTTGCAAGGTCTCGACAACAACGTTTACGCACAGGCGTTATCGACGAGCGTCCATACGCATGGAAAGGGTGAATTTGGTGATGACGAGGGAGTCAGATGCTCAAAGCACAATCCCCAATCCTGCCCCGCTCTTGCTATCTTTCCCATCCGAACGCGTCTTCCAATCCACCACAGCAAAGCCAGAGTGCGTTCCTTCTGTCTATCATTTTCGTACCGGCACATATTCACTCGAAAGACTTGTAGGGACGCATAGAGTGAACTCGGTTGGATGGGAAATGTCGAGGCAGTAATCTCGCTTGCAAGTTGCTTCGTATTTAGGTTGGGAGAGATTGAGGGATGCCCAGATGCGGAACCAGACTACGAGTGCGTAAAGTGGGCCATCACCACGATTAGTCGGTGGACGAGGTAGAGTGTATAGTCCTGCGATCATTCCGGATTTGAGCCCAACTGATTAATGTAAATTAGAACGATGAATGAAGGAACCTTGAAAAACTTCTCATCATCTTGAAATCAACCTTTTCACGCGGGATGGGATATACCGATATCTCCAAAGATACTCCCAACATCTTGAGAGGTGCTGATATCTGATCAGTACCAGTCACCCCCACCACCACGGTGTTTCACAAACCTAAAGCTTGAGCCCCGTCGTTCATCCATTAGTCGTGGCGATATCCAACGACGGTTCACAGGAGGAAGACCCCTCTTGAAGGTTAACAATTAGTCTGGATGCTCGTATGTTCGTAGCAGAAGGATTTGTCTGAATTTGCTATGGGGTAGTGGGGTACCATGGGAGTTTCGTCATTCGCTTGGTGAGGGTAGCATAGCTTTTGGGATGCGGAGAGTATGATGGCTGCGTGGTGTCGGGGAAGGGTAGAGGTGATAGACTGGATGAGGGCTTGTAGGAATGTGCAACAGGTTCCATGGTTTCGGTCATTCTGGTGATGATAGTCGGAGCATGAGGACATCTGAGTACGCCGAGTACAGACGTTCCGAAAAACGTTGTCCACACTGCCAAACAAGGCAGGTAAAATCAAAAAATTAGATAAATACAAGAAAATCGTAGAAATAGCAATCAGACTTCATTTGTGCGTGTCATTCAGTAGAAATATACGAATTTAATGATCCATGGGTGCTGCAGTGTGTCGTAAAGATAATACTTGAAATAAGAGCACCTGGCTGATGAAGGACTGTTGAGTGCCGCCAGATTTACATGTTCAGGCTGTCTCGCACCGAACAGCCGGTCACACCTTCGTTCTTGCCATCATTGTCATTCAAGAGACAAGAAAAGACAAGACAGCTTTGAAGAACGATTCTGCATTCAGTCAAGCAGGCGACCGCTGTGATTTTGCCAGTTTCGACGTCGACAGCTCTCGGCCTCCTGCTACATAACACCATAGCCCGCTCGCACCATTTCACTGCGACCAAGACACCTGCAACCGGATATCCTGGCTTTATTTCGTCGGTATTCACGGTTAGGAATGGGCTAGTGGAGGTTCGGGCGTTGTAGACTGGGAAACTTTGGAGAGGGCGCAGTGGCTGGTATGCTAAGCATGCATCTTCGAGGGAAGTTATCCGCTCTCATTTCAGAATGACTTATTGCTGTTTACAAGGGAGAAAACATCTCTACAGTCTCCCACACTACCCTAATTATGCTCCGCCGCTGCCTCTCATTACCGCTAGCACAGACCCCGCTCATGACGTCCTACCACTGACTTATTGGCCTCATACCTGTTACGTTACCTCTATACACCTCGTACATCCTCGACGAATCTATTTATGATGCATTACGCTCACGAATGAAGGCATCATGCTGTTTTCACGATTTTCTTGCATTTTTGTATTTTTTTATTTTACTTGCCTTGTTTGGCAACCGCGGACAAAGTTTTTCGGAACGTCTGTACGCGCTGCTGACGTGACCGTCTTACACGATCTCCACGATCTCGATCCTCACGCCGTCGCATCGACCTCCAGCCTAACCCGTATATTCCGATAACCCCTCTAAAGTTTCCTTTCGCAACCGCCAGACAAACCAGCACTCCCCTTCCATACTATACTGCCATTACCACCATGGCTAATGGCGTGCCAAAAGTGATTTCACCATTCGCGTTCCTTGGCCAGATTTGCGATATCATGTATCAAGAGTAGCTGTGATCAATTTGCTCTCGGAGAATATTTTATAGAGTGTTTGGGTGTTTGGAGTGCAGGTGCGAGCTCAGGCACCTTCGAAAGAGACTTTATTGAAAAAGATTCACATCCGGCCCTTTCTCAGTTGACATCATTTCTGAGTCCTCTCTGGTTCTTACTGCACACTGGTCTGCACTCCTCGCAGAGACCGAGAACTGGATTGTGCCCCCCTTGGACCTTAACTGGCTGGTCGCATCTTGCCAGTCTGTCGAAGAAGATCACCGACTATGAAGACGAGGCAATGTTGGGTTCTGATATGGAACGGAAGGATTCGGAGATTGACGGTGAGGTCGGCGTTGCTGTGGTTTTCGATGAAGAGGAGCAAGGAGACGAGGTCGAAGATGAGTTTGAAATCAGAGATGACGAAGAAGAGGGCAGGGACGGAGGTGAAGTTGGCGAAGAGGTGCTCGTCATTGATGGCGAATTCTCAAAATCCGCAAAGTTCAAGCTGCCGACAAGGACCTCGTCTCCCCATACTCTGTCAATAGTTTCTAGGTACAGAGACAGATCACTGAGGTGTACTCGGCCCTGATCATTGCTGTCAACAAAACCTTCTCCGTACTCTCCATTCTTGGATACGGGTCCAACCTCCGTCACCGCGAAAACCAGCTCATGGAGCTCTTCGACTATCAGAGCTTTCGTATCCCGACAAAAAAATACCGCGGCATCATTGTCTGGTGTACCAACCTCATCCAGAGTGACGCTGATGAGTGCATCAACGTTGACGTACGAAAAGGGCATGGTCTGAGGATTGTCAGACGAAGCAACACCCTTCTATCGCTCCGAAGCCTCACCGCGTTCAAAACAAGCTCTATCCTATTGCGTTCGGCGCCAATGAGCCCATTGTTCTAGGCACGCCTACCAGCGCTAAAAAGGTATGCTTGTCGAGTTGCATCTTGATTTTGTCGCTGACTATTTCTCGATATTCAGACCAGCGTTGCCATGCTTACAATCCCGAACGAGCTGTCCACGTATCATGATGAAACTACCGGCTCTTTCGAGCTTGATGCGTTCAAAACCATCTACGCTGCTTCCATGAAAGCACTCTTCCAAAAAATGGTCAGCAACTTCTTCGGTAGCCTCAAAGTCGGCGAGCTTAGGGGCGAAACGACGAAGCAACAGATTTCTGAACATCATCGTACCAAGAACCCCTCCCTTCTTCAGCCCTCCGAACCTTCTCTACAGTCCCCATCATCATCAGAACTCGCACCAAGAACAAAAGTCGAGATCTTGTACTCGTTCGAGACATACTTTCCCCGGATGAGGTCGCAAGATGATTCTCTGGACCTACGCGAACTCCCCAAGAGGTCCTGCTGCAATATTTCGGCCTAAACACCGTCCGAAGAGGCGTTTTTGGTATAGGCAAAGAGTCTGTCGGTGTCTTTGTTGGAGAAGACGCAGCAGTCGAAGCTGACAAAACAGATGACGACGTAAATGAGAAGGATTTAGCAAAGTTGGCCTACGTCAACCACCATGTTTGATCTGAGCGGAGGTGCTGGAACCCGCAGAGAGGACTATCCTTCCCGAGCTCGTGGATAAATCAAATGGTCATATCTATTTTGACCCTTCTTATCGACCTTGCAGGCTGCAGCAGTAGTTCATCGGAGTTCCTGAAAAGGAGGCAATCAAGCGACGAGCGAAGCCTCTTACGGGATAAGTCTTCGACCAGGCTGGAAAAAATCAAACCCTGGTTTTCGGGAACTCATGCGAAAACGGAGAAATTCATGGGGAACGTGGTGGGGAGGGAGACGATTACTCTGTTTATCAAAGATGATGGCTGCTCCACCGAAGATCCTGACTGAAGAAGCCAACGACGCCGAGTTCGTTTTCTCCTTCCTTTTCGTTTCGGTATCCATCACGCCGATATGTCTCGGGAAGATCGTTCTTTAGTGGAGGAGCTGTTCACGGATGGATTTGCTCAGGTTCTCGTGTGTACTGGGACGTGCCAATCTGCTAGCCCATGCGGTCGTCGTGAAAGGAACCCAGATCTACAATCTGGACAAGGGACGATTTGTTTCCGCAGGATGCGCTCCAAACGCTTGGACGTGCGGGTCGACCGCAGTATGATACATACGGCAAAGGCATTATCATCACCTCCTAGCTCCAGGACCTGAGCAAGCTCAACCAAAATCAGTCTATCGAGTCTCAATTTGTATCCAGGAAGTTGGTTGGCAACCTCAATGCGGAAATTGTCTTGGGCACGATCCGAAATTGCAATACCTGGCTGAGAATACACTTATCTGTAGGCTTTCCTCTATCTCAAATGTGTCTTCTGTTGATTGATCATTTTTCAGTTTCGTGCAAATACTTCGCTCGGCGGGTTTGTACGTACAATGTTGGTATCAATTATCAGGATGACAATGTCGAAGCCAGCCGTTGTTAGATACGCACCCTACCGTTAGACTCTAAAATTCCACAAAATCGAAGCCACAACGAACGGGTATCTATACGATGGCCTACCGACTGGTTTTACTCATCCCGCTTCTCCTCTCTCCTCGCCCTCGTTCTCCCGCTCTCATATCCTCCCGGACATCTTCTGCCCATCTTTGAGCTTATCTTCAACGAGCTCTTCTGGCTGTTGTACGCGTCTACGATGCTGGCGAGGTCGATGGTCGTTGACCTTCTGATCGCCTTCACCTGCCTTTTCCGACTTGGCTTTTTGACTTCCACAACGATAACGGCGTCGAGCTCACTGAGCTCCACGGTGAGCTCGTCGTATTTCCTACTTATTTCTTGTGTTTCTGATGTTCTTTAAAGTTTAGCGTTGCTTTTTCGGCCCCAAGGTTATTACGGCGTCGTGACTTGTTGACCAACAGGTTCCATGGCATATCTTGTGAAGTTGAGTGAATCCTTCGATATCGTTAGCAACCACTAATCTGCGCTTTTTCTGGATCTAATCTTGTGTTAATCCCTACCATTTTACAGGAACTAGCTCAGTTTCAGAATGGTAAGCCAGACAATCCCAATTCATTCACACCGTCTGTTTACTCACTTTATCAGGATCTATCAACGAAGAATTATGATGCGGTTACGGGATGGTATCCGCCTCGCAATACGACGGAAATGACTAGGTGCCGAGTCAAACAAATCAAGCAGGTACAGCCTAGATCAGAAGAATATCCGTAGACTGCAAGATACGGTGAGTTCGTGCATTTTCTCACCTACATGACACTCAACTATTGTTTTACAGGCTTTGGAGCTTATATGATGTTGAGAGTAGGGTGCAATACATTATGTGGATCTAGTCGGCAAATCCTTCATTGTTCGAGACAGCTCCTGGGAGGAATTAGTTGCATCACAGACCGCACTTTCAAAGAGTCACATCCAACACCTTCTCATTACAAGTACGGGCCCATTTCCCTCTGGTTCGTACCGCAGACCAGTCTACACTTCCTTGCAGAGACCGAGAACCGGATGGCGCACCTACCTTACTGACTGGTCGCATCGATGCACGAGTCGTGTCATCCGAGGACTCCCCCAGGACGTGGACAAATATGCGACAGACCGACAATAGATGATAGAAGAGGTCGACCGATAACAAGCGAGCAGTTCTCTCGACTCGTCAGTCCGTCGAAGAAGGGCACTGACTATGGCGCTGAAGACGAATGCCAATATGGAGTGGAGGGGTATGACAGGTCGGTGTTGCGAGGTTTTTGATGAAGAGGAACAGGAGGACAAGGGTTTGAAATACGAGATGAGTTGGACGATGGCGATGGCGATGCGGCAAGGCTACACCTGAAAAAGGCAGTAGCATGGGTTTTCACAATCAACAAACCTTTATGCCTAGCAGTGACTGCGTGTACCCTTCATAAGAGCAGTCCTTTGCACCCTCTCAGGTAGGCATAATAACGACTCGGTTTAAGAAGAGCTACTACAATGTGTACTTAAACAAGAATGTTCCAACACTCTTCACTAAGACTCTCTAATTGCCTCCATTCTTCTTTATCGGGAAATTTCAACACCGACACTTTCTCAAACCTTTTCCCTGGCAGTCTTCGGCCGACAACCCAATCTTCGAACCATACTGAATGAGCACCAATCAGTGTGTACGTGTTGTCAGGTATCGGGTACTCGTGGGTGGCTGTGATGTTGAACGCATGCTCTGTCCCACCCGCGTCTTTAATGATCAATTCTCCACGTCGATCACTCCCTTCCACAACATGAGCCAACCCCCGTACCCACCCTTTTTCAATGCAGTACAGATTACACCAGTCTTCATCCATCTCCTCATTCCGATCAACGAGGATGCCGTGGGGTCTATCTTCGGGCGGAGGCTTCGTCATAAGCTGGTCCCACGATGGTCTCCACTTTCTGCCTGCATTGCCCGGTTCAGGATACAAGAAGAACAACTCTGCCCGACTCCACTCATCCAGCGAATTCACGAGTGCTGTCCATGCGTCCTCGAGAGACTCGCTCTCATAGTATGCCGGTATCATCTCGGAGTCCAGAAGAAATGCCAGTCCCGCGACTTTGTCCACCGGATTGGTTGACACCCGATTCTGCATCTCCCCTAGCACTGCAGTCACACCATACAAAAAGACCTGCACAAACTCCAGCTGCTTGTGAAACCTGGTTAGTAGCTCAGTCTCATAATTCCCATCCTTATCTCTTCGGGCATGCATTGGTCCATCCGGCGTATCCCCAGCAATCAACATCTTTCCCCCAACCTCCTGCACTGTCCAAGCACGTCTAAACCAAGACCGATCACTCTCCAAGTTGCCGTCCTTCAAACTCAAAGGCCGACCCAGCCCACTCAAGTATGTCACCACCTCGGTGTCACGATACACTTTTCCGATGGTGGGCACATCCAGCTTCCACTCTTCCCCCCGCATGTCCTCCCCTGGTCCACCCACCTGTCTCAAACAGAGAACGTCCAACCATGCATACTCCGCTGCAAAAAGCGAATCCTCCGCTTCAATATTGAGCATCTCAATGCGGATGAAGTTGAGGTTGGTGTCTTTCGGGATGGGAACCGGCCATTCGTATCCGTTGATGGGCGTCCACTCATCGACACGGTCCTTCTCATCCATCCATCCATGCGATATGGGCAGAACCGTCCATGTTCTCTCCTCTTTTATGCCTGTGCACCACAATGGCACCACCCGATTGCTGAACAGATCCCAGACACGTCGAGGTAGCAAACTTGGTTTGACGATCCGGTTACCAAGGAGCGCTTTCCGTCGCATCTCTCGGTCCTCCTCTTCCCATTTGCGAAATGTGTCTCGTATCGTGCTCCAGTCGTCGGTGTACCATATCTGGCGGAGGCAGCCATATGCCATGCCAAAGTCCCAGTTGTTTGCGATGCACTCTTCAAGAAGGGAAGAGAGGGATGGGGTGTCCAGGGTGTGTGATGTTCCGAGTGTCGTGTTGAATTGATCCAACATGCCCTGAATGCTGAGGGTAGCGCAGGGAGTGTCTGCAAGGTGGGATGATATCACAGGTCTTCTACCGGTGTACGCCCGTTGCTTTGGAACAGCGATGGACGATTCGGGTTGGCCTCCCTCAGTGAAGGCAGAGATGGTGACTTCGGGAAGAGAGATTTCCTGAGAATGGTATCAATTTCCCCTCTGCTTGTTTGCCCACTGACTAACCTCTGGAGGAAGCCAAGGTCTATTAAAATATGTGTCAGAATCAACCAAAGCATCACCAGATGATTGTTCTTACTTGGGACTAGTCTGTGAACCCACATCGGAGGGTGGTTCTGGATGCGAGCGTGGCGACGAGTCTGGTGCCGCCTCCAAAGCAGGACCAATATCTTCTGAAGGATAACTACCATGCTGCTCTTGCGGCTCGGACGACACGGTTGTGTTGGAATTCTCGTCAAGCTCAGGTGTTTTGTGAGGAGATGAATCTTTACTTGTCCGGGAAGTCAAGAAGACGAAGCATATGCGTTTCCAAATCGACATCACACCGCCGAAAAGCCGTTCGACCTTGGACGGTGCTAACGTCGTCGTACTGAACACTCGAAACAAGAGAGATTACTGATACATACTATTTCCCATTTTCTAGACTCAGAAGGGCAAGCAGGTCGAGGGAGTGCTAAACGAAAAGCTGTTTGCCTCGAGGCATCACAGCTTGCAAGTCACAGCCCAAATCCTCCCAGGCTGTTGTGTGTAAATAACGTGATAGAAGTCTTCATTCTCTCCAGCTCATAAATGCTTTCCCACATGGATTAACTTAGTTCCATTAAATCAAAGACGTTAGCTTGGAGACTGGGGACAAGTTCATTTTGCAAGGCCGCGATCCCAATAGATACGTCAGGGGAATGGTGGTGTACACCTCTGCGGCATCTAAGGGAAATCGAGATTAGCAGTCATGGCGCCTATCATATTTGGTCCAAGTTGTCGGGTGCTTTGGGCGCTTCCCTGTTCCTCACAAACGCCATCATTCGTCTCGAACATAGCATAAGTCTCTTAAGAACATCCCGCCATATCCAACAAAAATGAACCTTATATTTGAAGTCAATGTTATTGAACCAGTAAATAATCCGAATCCATCTACATACTATGAGACGCCACTGAAGCCAAAATCAGATGAAGATAGCAGTAAGTTTGACAAGGGTCATACCTGATATCTGATAGTTCAGTACCGTCGAACGACGCACGATGGACTCGGCGGACATGATAGTAAACTCTACGACAGGATCGTATGCGATCAGCTACCTCCTCTCCTCCTTCCTGGGGAAATGGTTTTGCCTATAAAATGGTTAGTATACCGAACACTATCTGAGAGAAAAACTCACGGTCATATCCCGTAGTGCAGATACCGTGCCAGTCAACCACCGCTTTAGTAGACTCTGATGGTACAGCCATGGGTGTACGATATCGTCACGGGCAGTTTCACCGTTGAGGTTGAGATTGCCGTGTCGGGTGTACTGGATGCCAGAAGATATGGGAGATGGGAAGGAGGAGGTCCGATAGTAGATGACGGTTCATTAAGCATCGAGTGGATTTGGAGCTCCTTTGATGTTGACGGTTAGTTGAGAGGCTCGTATGTTTGTGGTGGGAGGATCGTCAAAGGACTTTAAGTTTTACAGGTTGAGTTTACTCTGCAGTGGTGTAGCGGCATTTCTTCGTTTCTTGGTGATGTCCTAGAGTCTGCTGTGGTGATGAAGGAAAAAAAGACAGACAGCTACACAGTGGAGGAGAGTGCCTGGGTAGGGTAGATGCGATAGTGCAATGTAAACAACTGAGAGTCTGTTTGCAGGTGCTCGGCGCTGGCGAGGCTCGCACGCGGTTCGTCCGACTATCGTGTCCGACTGAGGAAAGCGATGTGATGAAGGCTGCATCTGAATTGTGAACGGATGTCTTCCCGGTGATTTTGGTGGTGTAGCACCTACTGAAGATAGCAAGTTCGCGATTTCGACCATTCTGGTGATGATAGTCAGAGCGTAGGAACATCTGAGTATGCACTGCCATCCTAATTAGAGCTCGAGCTGCTCGACCCAATCGCATCCCTTCAGTCTGACGCGTACTAAGTATTCCGACAACTCTTTATAGCTTTACCCTCGGGTTGCACCTCGTCATTCAATAGCAATCCCAAAATGAGCCATCGGAAGCTCTCGTATTCCGTGGGACATTCTCCGAACTGCTCTAGATGCAGCCTGCTGATGGCCTGCGGCAGTGGTAGGAGATGAAGGACTGAGAAATGATGTAAAACATACACTCAAGAGCTTCAATAAGCCCTCTATGAGAATGCTCCTCCCATAGTTTGTTACACGATGAAACATCGGAGTGACGAACGACACGGATGATGGAGACATGTTCGAGAGTCGGGAAGATATGATGTACGGAAGGAGAACATCCTGTCCCCAGTCGGAATCACGGTCGACGTGGATGGAGGGTCGCAGGAAGAGTAGATTATGGGATTGAGGAGAAGAGTCCAGAATCCAGTCAGATTGAACATCGAGAAGGGCTAGTGGTAAGTCGACTGCGAGTGGGTACGCCCTGATCAGATGTATGTTGACCAATACAAGCTATATTCGGGACTATAGCAATGATGTTTCGCCATAGTTTGGAGATGACATTACAATCTTCGCCAATGCCAATTGATATATCCTCCTCACCACGGAGGGATAGCTCTGGCCATAAGAGTCGCTCGTGAGTTTGAAGATACTGAGAAGCGATGCGTCGTTCACGACGCATGATCCTGGATTTATCAGGGTGGAGGTATCGCTGCCGATAATCGAAATAACAACGAATGCATGCCGTTAGTTACAGCAGGCAAGTCGCTGGAGCACAGATCGAATGGAATTAATCGATGAAGACAACGGGGGTGCTCCGCCCTTCATCGGAAGTCACTTGGGTAGGCTTGTTAGCGTTGGATATAATGGACATTCATGATCAGCTCACCGAATGATTCCCAAGCCTATGTACGTCGTTATAGTTGACAATGAAGCGACGAGGAAACAACGAGTCTTTTAAGCATGCATCAGATTATATTGCATACGCAAACCCGAGGACTTTTACATACCTTAAACTCCAGTATCAGACAATCTTGCCATGAAGTCATCCCTATCCATATGATTTGTATCTGCAGGCCAGCTCTCGGGTCTGTCGCAACGTATTCCTACGACTCTGCCAGAAATCAGCTCCACAGCACACACCTGCTATTCCCGCATCTAATACTTTGGATTTGCAGGATATCGTTATCCGGATGGGACGCTAACCGGGGTGAAATTTTTGACAAAGGTAGCGGTGGATGTAAGAATAATCATACCTGGTATCGAAGACGGCCTAAGCCTAGCCCATGCCAACCACCTCAGAAACCAAATCCACGCGCTACTTTGCTCAGCTTAATCTCATCCTTTGGCGAATGCTCCCGAAATCCATGCTGTATTGCTGCCATGAGGTTAAGTCTATTGTCGAAGTTGTCGGAGTGTGTTCTCTCTTCGTTTCTTGCTCTCGTGGAGCTGACGCGAGGTGGGGCCAATCGACACATAGGGGAAGGGAGAAGACGGTAGATATCAGGAAAAAATAAGAAGACGTTGCATGGTGTGAACGTGGTTAGGAAGAAACGATTGCAGCGGGCTTGTTTGATCTTAGGGTCTGTTCGGCTGCCAGGCACGGCCAGTTTTTGGCGCCAGTTAGTTAGGCCCTGTTCGGGTGACATGGCTTAACCCGGCCAGGCCAGGCTAAGAGAATTGGTCACAAACGTCACAAGATCGGAATAACTCGGATGAATGCAGATGATGTCCGAATGACGTCAAGCGATCGTCAATGCTGCCACCGACGTCGTCGAAGGGCGTCCCAGCGCTTCCCCGCCTGTGCCGCTGACTGACCGACACAATGGCAGCAGTATTCTTCCAAATTTGTGTTGATTTGTCTAGATATTCAATTTCATTCACAGGAGTACCATATTTCCTAGTCTTGTTGGCATTGTTGGTAGTCATTGTGCGTAGTGAGCGGGAGGGCGGGCAGGGCGAGCGCAGCATCGGTGTCGGGATGCAGGTGACAATGGAGTGACATGCTGAATAATCCAAGTTAAGCAGACTTAAACGGCCGGTTTAAATTTTGGCTCTGGGGCCGGGTTAAGCCGTGTCACCCGAACAGGGCCTTATGTACCGTTTTTGGAAGACCAACATGAACCGGCTTTCCTCGTCGTCGTTTCGCTTGTTTTTGAGCTCTCTACATGTCCTAAAGTCTAGCACACTATTAAAACAAACACCCTTGATGTTATTCCATTTATTTGAATGATTTTCTGTGCGCAATCTACCTAAGGAATGCTGTTTCTGGCCTAGCACGAAACTTTGTCTTTCTGCCTCTAGCTGAGGTCCTCTCCCTTAGAAGCACGAGAGGCTCTATCAAGACCATGGTTAATACATTTTCATCCATTATCCAAGGACTTTGAGCTTTGAAATCCTTGGTAATATAAAGACCTACCGGCGACTCCGATCAAGGCAGTCAAGGTTGTCAAACTGCCTTGAAAGTCGATGTCTATTCACCTATACATTGTTTGATATATGTATATTACTCCAGGAGATATAAATATGTCATTATTACCATCTCAGAGATACACATGTACTTTGGAAGTCTTGACTACAGCCTCAGGAGCAGCTTGAACTTGTATTATTGCTCTAATTCATCCTGGATATGTTCCTAGATCATGGTTGTCTAACCGATGATGTATCATAATGTACTGGATGATTTACAAGCTATTCAGACGGTTACGGATGTTCAGAAATACGCAAAACGACGACGAGAAAAGTCTGTTCATGTTGGTTTTCCAAAAACGGCAACTAACTGGGCGCCAAAGACTGGCCGTGCCTGGCAGCCGAACAGACCCTTAGTGACGTCATCTTCCTACTTCTTCCAACGATTCAGGATTTGAGACTCACGGCGAGTGATTTTACTTCTCGCTTTATACAATTCTAACCTTTCCCTGAAGCTGACTGCCAAACACTCGAGACCAAGGTCAATTACCCCGCGACGGACGCGTAGTAAAAAAAATAGACGTCAGGAAGAATCTGATTTCTGAAGACGAACTCTTCTCATAGTGCAAGTTCCTGCCGTCCGTGTCTTCTGTGTTCTTCTCCCTCTCACGTTGAGGTCCGAGATTGGTGCT